GTAGGAAGTGGCTGGCACTCTCTGATGGGGTCATTGAGAGTTTAAGAAAGAGGCTGGGTAAGTATTTTGGGCAGGGTTAAGGGAAACCAGTAAAGTCATCTTCAAAAATCACTTTCCCTACTGTATCTTTGACTTCTCCTGCTCGTTGGATGGATGGATGGATGCATGGATGCATGGATGGATGGATGGATGGATGCATGGATGGATGGATGCATGGATGGATGGATGGATGGATGGATGGATGCATGGATGGATGGATGGATGGATGCATGGATGCATGGATGCATGGATGCATGGATGCATGGATGCATGGATGCATGGATGGACGGACGGACGGACGGACGGACTGACGGATGGATGGATGGATGCACGGACGGATGGACGGACGGACGGACGGACGGACGGATGGATGGACGGACAGACGGACGGACGGATGGACGGATGGACGGATGGAAAGACAGGTAGATAGAATGGACAGGTGATGGATGGATAGATGGATTGATAGACAAATGGATGGACAGATGATGGACAGATACGATAGACCGATATAGAGAGGTAAGTGATAAGAGAGGACACACACATAGATGATAGATACATGGGTAGATAGTTGATAAATAGATAATAGACATGCAGACAAATAAACACAGGTTTTCACAAGACTCCACTCTGGCCACCACCCTCAGTGCAGAAATACACCTCTTGCCATCATTCTTTCCAACTGAAGGGAAGGTTTCCAGGCAAAAAGCTCTAGGCTTGCCCTGCAGGGAATCAGTTGTGGAACTGCATCGGGCTTGGGGTTCAACTGGGAGTAACCTCTGAGCATCTGCCAAGCTCCCCAGCAGGAAACAGGCCTGAAGGAGGAGGACAAAGGACAGGGCAGGGAGGGTGGTAGGAGGTAGAGGGGCCGCACGTCCGAGGGCCGCCCCGGCCAGTGTCCGGGCACCTCACAGACCAGCTGCCTGTCAGCTACACCATCAGAGAAGAGGTCCTCTGTAGGACCAGGAGGAATCCCCATGTCTATGATTTCTAAGCGGGGAATGCTTGCTTTACATTTCTGGTAGAGGAACATCACACCTGTGTCGTGCCTCCGCGAGCCTAGAGTATTCACTCACGGTGATACCTGGATACCTGTTCAACACCTCTGGTATCTGGATGCGGGGAAAATGGAACCTTGCACGCCTCATGACAAGCAAGTATGGGCACACTCTCTCCTTCCTGGCACGCAACTCATTCATAAAGTCCTAAACCGTATGCGATTTATTTATCTTTATCCAACGTGTACGGTCATTACCTTAGCTCTCTGCCTTGCTCCAAAAGAGTCCACGCAGAAGAATGAATATTATATTCATGGGAGACAGGGTTACTTAAACAGGAGAAGGTCCCAAATGCTGGTGCTTCCCATGTGCTTTTGCTCTTATGAAAGCACACTTAACTGTGGGTCCCCATTGCCATGGTGGCATGGGGAAACTGGCACGGGAGGACATCACGGGTATTTGCCACCAAAAAGCACCGTTCTAGAAGCAGGGAAGGGAAGTACCGGAGAGTATGTGTTGATTCTCCACGGGAGCCCTACTCACCCCGAGTGCATCTCAAATATCAGGATGCCGAGCGCCCACCAGTCCACGGCTCTCCCGTGGCCTTTGCTCTGGATAACTTCAGGGGCCAGGTACTCGGGTGTTCCACAAAGGGTCCACGTCCTGGGGACAGAGAAGGGCATAAGAGAAGTTAGCGGTGTTGGGCAAATGCATGCGTCTCAGGACCAAATGCGACGATGACGTCGGTGATCACAACGATGCCCCATCCCCACCCGCTGGACACTCCAACAAAAGTGTTGGAGAGAGATGCCAGTGTTGTCTTAGAGGCCTCTAGGAACCACATGAGGTGACCTGAAGCCAGGACAGACGGTCAGAACAGATCCTTCTCTCGGGAGCTACTGTGGGACCACAGCCCTGCAAACACCTTCATTCCAGGGCTCCAACTTCCAGAACCGTGGGAGAATACCGTTGTCTGAAGCCCCTTGGTCGGGGTGCTGTTACGGCAGCCCCGGGAAAGGCACGTGCTCCCCACACCAGCCACGCACACTCTTCACCTTCCTTCTAAAGCACCTGCAGGCTCGGCCCCGCACATTCTGTATGGCACACTGTTTTCTAATGGAATGGAAGCTAATTGACAGTGGGAAATGGCAGACATCTGAAAATACAATTTTGGAGGTCAAGAAGATAGCCATACTGATTTCCACATCTGTCTCTCTAGATGGCTGACCACTCCTCGCCCACTAAGACTCTGACAGATGAGAGCACGTCTCTAAGGCGGGGAACGGCGGCTCAGAAAGAAGATGCTACGGGACTCCCATTGAGTACGAACTTCAGGTCCTCCTTGTGGCTTTGCTCCCTGGTTTGCAGGAAGGAAAGAGTCAAAAGTGCAGACCACTTCACACCCATCGGGATGGCTGTGAAAAACACAGAAGTGTCGGCGAGGATGTGGAGAACAGGGATCCCTCGTGCCCTGCTGGTGGGGACACAAGCTGGTGCGGCCACTGTGGGAAACAGTATAGGCGGGTGCTTGAAAAGCGAAACCTAGCATCACCGTATGATCCAGACACTATGCCTCCCAGTATATATCCAAAGGAAACGAAAGGCAGGGTGTTGACGACATACTTGCACACCCATGTTCAGACCAGCGTGACTCACAATGGCCAAAAGGCAGGTGCCAACCCAAGCGCCCATCAATGGATGAATACATAAAGAAAATGGGGTCCATTCACACAATGGAATAGGATTCGGCCTTAAAAAGGCATGACACTCTGACACCTGCTAATGACGTGGATGAACCTTAAGGACATGATGCTGAGTGACATCAGCCAGACACAGAAAGACAAATACTAGGATGTCACGTGTATGGGTTCCCCAGAGCAGGGAAATGCAGAGAGACAGGAAGCAGATGGTGGTGCCAGGGGCTGGCGGAGGGGATTGGAGAGTAAGTGTTTCACGGGGACAGAGCTCCATTTGGGGAGGATGCAAAGTTCTGCAGATGGATGGTGGTGACGGTTGTGGGACATGACAAATGCATCTAATCCCACTGAACCGTGTACTTAAAAATGGGGAAGATAGTCAGTTTTATCCTAAGTATATTTTGCCACAATCTTTATAAAAAATGCAGAGACTGAAGAGGCCAGGTGGAGCAGGGTGTCCTCCAAGGAGGGAGGAAGCCAAAACAAGTGTCTGAGAAACAAAGTCAAGGTAAGGCAAGCAGGACCTCGGCAGAGGCTGGACATAGGCTGGGTTTGGAAAGGGCTTGGGAATTTGTAACCCTAGAGAGACATTGGTGTCCGGCTGGTGCTCTACCACCAAGGATGATGTCGTGTGGGGTTCTCCACTTAGCGACTGAGACCTTGAGCGCACCTCCAGGCCACCCGTGCCCATCTTGCCAACTTATGGAGCGCTCCGTGCTGGGCTCCCAGGCTGGTAGCACGCCCAAGGTTGCCTGAAGCTAGCTGGAAATAGAGCTCTTAGCCCTTATTGAGACCAGGTGGAGGTGGCCGCAGGTCATTATATATGCATCAGGGACAGTGTCTCCACTTGCATTTGGAAAGGTGAGTCTCTTTCTGGCTCCGTTCTAGGGTAAGAGGCACAGGTGGAAGGCTGTATAAATTTCCAGTTTCTAAGTTGCCCTGGGTAGCCCGATACTTCTTTAGAAGAAGACCTTCCTGCAAACGGCCCCAGTGCTTTGTGGATGTACACAGAGGCATAAACTGCTAGGGAGCTTCCGACGGCAGTAAACATGTAAAGATGAGACAAAGAGCCCCGGATGTTATTCAGAGACCGCTGGTCCAGGCTGTGAATTATCCATGCCCCCGGTCTTCTTTCCTGCTCACCCAGCTCTTGGAGAGCAGGCAAGGTGACACCTGACGTTCTCAATGTGCTCACTGTTATCACTTCCACAGCGGCAGGGGCAGGACACCGTGTTAATGAAAGAAAGATGGTATTCTAATTGCTCACGTGTTCTTAAACTCTCATCGCCTGCCAGGGCATCTGTCCAGGGGCTTTTTGTGTTCCCCTCAAAAGTCCTAAACCCCAGAGCCTGTGAATGTGATCTTATTTGGAAATAGGGTCTTGCCGATGTAATCAAGTTAAGATGATGTCATATTGTTGGATCAAGATGAACTAATTCAGTAACTGGTGTCCTTGTGAGAGGGAGAGACTGAGAGATGTCTCTCCACCATGTGAGGACACAGTGAGTAGGCAGCCATGTAAAAGCCAGCAAGAGTCCTCACCAGCAACCAAGTTGCCTGGCGCCCTGAGCTTGGACTTCCAGCCTCCAGAACTGTGACAAATCAATTTCCTATAAGGTTGTCAATGCTATCAGATTAGGACCTCACTCTCCTGACCTCAATGAACATCAATTACCTCCTAAAAGCACTATCTCTAAACACAGTTGCCTTGGGAGGGTTAAAGCTTCAACACATGAATTTTGGATGGACATAATTCAGTCCATAGCAATGGTGGTGACGGTGATATGATGGTGGTGGTGGTGATGGTGAAGGTGGTGAAGGTGGTAAAGGTGGTGATGGTGAAGGTGGTGAAGGTGGTGAAGGTGGTGAAGGCGGTGAAGGCGGTGAAGGCGGTGAAGGTGGTGAAGGTGGTGTGATGGGGATACTGATGATGGAGATAATAAAGTCAGAAGCACCTTATGTCTACTCGATGCTTACTATGTGCCAGGAACTGTTTTAAGGATGTACTTTCCAATTAGCAGACCCACCCATTCTTAGCAACAATCCTAGAGTAAGAACAATTCTCACTTCTCAGACGAGCAAAGCAAGGCACACAGAGGCAATTAACACGCCCAAGCTGACCAGCCTAACAGTATCATGGTCCAACAGCAGCAAGTATCCCCACACCTCCCCTCTTCACTCCTCATCCCCACTCTGTGATGCACCCATTAATAGAGGCTGATGGTAAGAGAAAGAAATGTGACCTGGAAGTCACCAGGTACCATCACTCGGCAGTTGTGGGAATGTGGGCAAGTCATCTCCCGCTCAGTGCTTCTGATTTCTCATCTGTACAAGACGATGTGGGGTGGATAAACTCTAAAATATCGTGTGTGTGTGTTTGTATGAAAGAGAGAGGCAGACGGTCTGTGACCGCTTCCAGGATCCTTAGCATTTCCCACCCCTGCTGTGTCTATACAGCATCTAGGAGTAAACTGGGGTTTTCTGACACACCAGTGCCAGGGGAGACATGAACACCACTGTGCAGCACAAGCAGACAGGCTGGGCTCAGGACGGTATGGTGACACGGACCCAGCTCCACCTATTACTCTACCTTTGGGCTCTACAATATGACACCATAAGGTACCTCATATATGTGAACTCATACAATATGTGGCCTTTTGCGTCTGGCTTCCCCTTGGGATAATTGCTTTCAAGGTTCACTGATGGGGTTTTGTTACTTTTCGTGGCTTAATGACCATCCATGGTATGAATATACCTTCTGGTCGGTTTTAACCAGTTCACACAGCAGACGGTCTAGTTTGGGGGCGTCACAAACTGGGTCTGGAAATGGCCAGATGGTGAATATACTGAATAGGTAACATATTTTCATTGCGCAGAAACTAAATCGGTATTAAAAGGGATGCATTGGGATGCCTAGGTGGCTTGGTCGGTTGGGGTCTGCATTCGGCTCAGGTCATGATCCCAGGATCCTGGATCGAGTCCCCCATCGGGCTCCGTGCTCACCAGGGAGCCTGCTTCTCCCTCTGCCTACCACTCCCCCCGCTCGTGTGCTCTCTAACAAATAAATAAAATCTTAAATAAATAAATAAAAATAAAAGGTATGCACTGCTGTCCATAATAGCCAAACTATGGCAAGATGTCCATCAACAGATGAATGGATAAAGAAGATGTGATCTATACACACACAATTCAATATTACTTAGCCATCAGAAAGAATGAAATCTTGCCATCTGCAACAATGTGGATGGAACTAGAGGGTATTATGCTAAGCAAAATACATCAATCTGAGAAAGACAAATACCATATGATTTCCCTTGTATGTAGAATTTAAGAAGCAAAACAGATGAACACAGGGGAAGGGAAGGAACAATAAAATGAGATGAGATCAGAGAGGGAGACAAATCATAAGAGATTCTGAACTCTAGGACACAAACTGAGGGCTGCTGGAGTGGAGATGGGTGGGGGATGGGGTAACTGGGTGATCAACATTTGGAGGGCACGTGTGATGAGCACCGGGTGTTACATGCAATGGATGAATCACTAAATTCTACCTCTGAAACTAATAATTACTATATGTTAACTAAATTGAATTGAAATTAAAAAATTTTTAAAATGGTATGCATTGTCAAGTGTCACTCTCTTGCTCTATTTACTCCCAAGCCCCTCACTTACTTTATAAATAAAGTTTTATTGGCACACGGCCACATGCATTTGTTTACATATTGTCTCTGGCTATCTAGTCTCTGTGGCAGACACAGAACTCTCCTCCTGTAGCATGAGAGCTGCTGTAGACAAAACGTAAACAAACTAGGTGAGTGTGTTCTAATAACACTTTATTTAGAAAACACAAGTGGTGGGCCAGATTCCACAGGCTGTTGTTTGCTGAGCCCTGGTGTAGAGGAAAGAATTAGAGAGGGATGGATTTCAAAGCCTGGTTCTCATCTACCCCTCGATCTTTTATAGCTT